GGGCCCGGCCCGCCCCTCTCCCCTCCCTCCAATTTCTCCTTCCTCCCGTTCCCCGGCCCCTCGGCCGGGCGAGGCGAGGCGGGAGCCGCCGCTCCCGGCGCCCAGCGCGGCTCCTTCGGGGATGCGGCAGCCGCGGCCCGGAGCTCTGCCCCTGGGAGAGCTGCCCGGCTGAGGGGGCACCGGAGGGTACCATGAGCGGCGGCAGGTTCGACTTCGACGATGGAGGTGCCTACTGCGGGGGCTGGGAAGGGGGCAAAGCCCACGGGCACGGCATCTGCACCGGCCCCAAGGGCCAGGGCGAGTACTCGGGCTCCTGGAACTATGGCTTCGAAGTGGTGGGCGTGTACACGTGGCCCAGCGGCAACACCTACGAAGGCTACTGGTCCCAAGGCAAGAGGCACGGCCTAGGAATCGAGACCAAAGGACGGTGGGTTTACAGAGGCGAGTGGACCCATGGCTTTAAGGGACGGTACGGCGCGAGGCAGAGCATGAGCAGCGGAGCCAAGTACGAAGGTACCTGGAATAACGGCCTGCAGGACGGCTATGGCACCGAGACGTACGCTGACGGAGGTAAGGGTGACTCCGGAGGGGCTGAGAGGGTGGCGAACGGCGTGATAGCCAGCCTGCGATGGCAGAGGCTGCGTGTTGTGCCCGCCGAAGGGGTGACCTAATCCTGTCCCCAGTCGCGAGGTCCGGACAGGCGTGATGGTCCACAATGAACCGTTGGGGTGCTTGAGTTGAGAAGCAGGGCTTGGGGGGCAACCGCCTCAAAAATACGTGTGTGTCCCCTGTCCCCGCTGTCGGGTGCGGCGTGTGCGGCTCGCTGTCTGCAGGCACGAGGGAGGAGCAGCAGGAGCATTGCCCTCACCATCCCTCCCTCGGGAGCTGCTCTCGAGTGTCCATATCAATAGTTAACACCAACCAACATGATTTGTGTAGTCTGTGACTCCTTGTTCCCCAGGCACTGGTTATTGCTGTTCATCACTGAACTAAACCAGAAATGCCTCGCCGGTGTGCGAGTGCAGCGAGCCGTTCACTCGCTTGCTGGGCAGCGAGTTGTGAATGTTTTCACGTCAGATATAAGCCCCCCACGGCATCGTAGAACACTTTGCCTATGCGTTAGACGCCACTTGCGTGCCCCTGACGGGCTGCCTGGACATCTGCCTTGCTGAACTGTTTTGGTTGAGTTCATCTAAGCTGTTTACGTAGTCACACGCCTTTCCCTAAAATAAATCCCTTTGATTACTTGGAAGCTCTCAACCCCTGCTACTACACAAGTGCACCGCATAGTCAGATATTTGTTGTGCTCTGTAAATGCTCAGTCTAATTGTGTTCTTGCATTAGTGGCAATTCGGGGGTTAGAAACGTTGCAAGAATCTCTGTGCAAGTAATTCCGTAGCTCTTCAGTACTGTAATGTTCCAGGCTGCCATATTTAGGATAGCTAAATAGAGAGGGTGATTTGAAAGAAATACATTTCAAAATATGGATCAGAATTGCATCTATGTTTATCTAGGACAAGCAATAGAGTTAGTTTGTAAAGAAAAATAACAGTAATGGTATAAATTTTCCTAATGAAAAGCATCTCATTTATAGACATTAGAAAAATGGACTGATTCAAGACTGGCTGTCAGGGTAATGCTTTTTCATAGATGTTTCTCAATGAGTTGCCTAGGTACGTGACTAACTTTAAGCCTGGGAATATAGTATTGAAGTTGACTCATTTTCTTTGTGCCCTTGGAGGTTGTAGGTACAGACACGAACTGATGTGTCCCCCCGGCTCCTTAAATTTTCTTCCCCCTCTGCCCTGCGGCTGTGGAGCAGTTAAATGCTGACCTGCGCAGGTTGCACAGTGGCAGTGAGAGTTCAGGCTAACGCACATACATGCACCTGTGCACTGCAGAAACTTCACGTGTGGTTGTAAGACATGTAGGTTATGTGTAAGGTGTGCTCTGGTGAGTAGCGTGCAGCGATCAGGTAACTGTCAGCAACGGCTGCCATTGGGACTTTAATTTTGGAGATGTCAAGGTCTCCTGTGAATTTGTATGGCCGCTTCCTCGCTGCTTCCTAAAATGCATCTTCTTCTAAGAGTGCAGGGTGACTGGATTTCAAGTTAATGTTGTACAGAATTTTGAGAGGCAAAACTTGATGTAGGAGTTTGAATATGATTAGATCGCGGACTGAAAGCTTGGGATAGAAGAGGGAGAAAGATGAGTCAAGAATTTCTCCTGTAAGGATATGTAAGATATTGCTTCGGTCAACGTAGTGCTCCCCGGGTGTTGTCCCACACCCAAGAACGTGCTGTCTGTGCGATCCCTGGCGCCACCCGAGGTTGGCAGTTTCGCCCTGATCCGTGAAGATGTGCCCTGCCAAAGCCTCCCCGGGCAGCGCTGAGCTGAGCCCCCCAGGGCCCGGCCAGACCTGGCTCACAAGGGCTGCGCCCCGGTGCCCGGCAGCTGCTCCTTGCGTTGGGCCATCGCGTCCTGGCCGGTCTGAGCCGTTCATTCAAGACGTGAGCTTCTCTGAGTGGAGGGGAACGTGTAGAAAGCTGCATCCGAAGCCAAGGTGGGGATCGCCAGCCAGCATCACGTGCGTCGGACAGGGGTGGAACGATCTTGCTGACTTGCAGGACAGGCTCCTGTTTTGTCTCCTCACCTGTGCACGGTAACCATCTGCAAGATCCAGATGTGGCCAGGCTGCTAATTGGACCTGTTAATATTTGAATTTGAGGTTGCCAAGATAAACATCTGGAAAGGCTTTGGAAATCTGCCGTCCCTTGAGTAGGGGACGTGATTCCCAAGGTGCCTGGAAGCTAGCCACGCGAGGAAAAGGGCTCTGGGAACGTGCAGCTCTTGCCAGGTCGTTAGAAGCTTTAGGTCATGGTTGAGCTGCCTGCGGGTTTCAGGGAGATGTAGCTGATTCTAATGTTCTAAACTAGACTTTAAATTAACTTTTTATATATATATTTTTATATATATACACACACATAAAAACTTTCAAATACACTTACAAATCACAGACAACCTTGTATTTTATATTGTGGCTGGCCAAGGCTGGTGGCTAAATAAAGTCCAAATCTGCAGTGAAGCTTTTGGAAATCATGTATAGATTTTTTGGTGTCTATTAAGAAGTGGACTTATGGTATGGTTTAGCCTAGGCACTGCATGGGTTGTTTGCTTTTTCTCTCAGCTACCAAATGCCCATTTTTGTGAAAACTACAAGTGACTGATGCCTTAAACGACTTGCCTTCTCTAACATTGATTGAAATCAGCCAAGGGGTTCAGAGCTCCTGGTGTGGCCAGGCAGAGACAGTAACATTATGATTATGATATATTTCCTTGGGTATCCAAGCTGAATATACATGTGTGTCTGCTGCTGTCACCAGCAGAGAGCTCGGAGCCCTTTACAGGGGCAGGATGCGCTAGCTAAAGCGGGTGGTGATTGGGGTTGTGGAAGGCACAGCATGAAAGAAGTCATCATTTTGCAACCTAAGCTATGAGTAAACACTTAGTCATTTGGCTTCCACCTGTAGGTTTTGTCTCTGCTCTAAGAAAGGCCTCATTTTTTGGTTACTTTTGTGCTTTTGAGTCTGAGTGTTTGACTCAGTCAAGTCTTACTGCAGAAAAAAGTCTCGCTGCTAATGCAGAATTGTACCGGACACGCAGGATCTGGGCCCAAAGCTAGGCTTTGCTATACAAATACCTGTTTATATATATCTATGGCGGGGGGAACTCAACTACAATTGAAGCAGCCTAAAACCAACTTATTTTTGACGCTGCAATTTGGTCTCAGTGCTAAGAGAAAACAGTGGTGTCACTTAACTTCGTGCAGAAACAATTAGACCATTCAGCAATCACGAGACCACAAGAAAGGGGAAGTGTGCTTTACCAGGAGAGATGAAATGGGGTGATATGGAGCAGCACCAACTCCTTGGGTGCCCAGGGCGGGGAAAGCACGGTGGGAAGGGGCCTAGGCTGGGACAGAAGGAGCAGCATCCATGGGACTGCAGCCAGGGAAGCAGGAACGGGCTCTGGGTGAGCAGAGAAGTTGCTGACTTGTGTCTGCTGCCTCTGTAGCAAAGCTCCTGCATGGCTGAATTTGATCGATGAATTAATGCTGTGAATTTTTTTTACCCCTCTCTGGGGTTTTTTTTCTGCCTTTCTTTTCCAATAGAACCTATCAGATGGCACTGTTGGCACCAAAAACAAGCACTAGGTTTTCGCTCGCCTGTCTTGCACGTGGTGCTGTGCACTGATTGAAAGTCCCTGGCCTTTTACACTGAGTTCTTCTAACACGTCTGTCATCACAGTATTTGGGTAACAGCAGAGGATCATAGGGCAGTGATACGATTTGAGTTGTTTGCATTATTTACCTGGTTGGTTGTATTATTTACATTCATCACTAATTATACTAGAGCTTCGAGGCAGTCTGGGAAGCGGAGATGTGACACTGCTGACAGCAGGTTCTCATTGCTGGGCTGGGTGTGCACCAGGAGCTGAAGCTTTCGCCTTTGATGCAGCCAGGCATCGTCCTGTCCTGCTGCCAGGGCGAAACGGAGGGTGCTACCACCCTGTCGGTGTGTTTGGAGGTGAAGGCTGCAGGGATACTGTTTTCATCAATCCCACAATTTAATTCTTCCTGTCCTATGAAGATACCCAGGCAGGGCCACCCCCCTGCTTTGGTCGGGGACGGGCTGAGGTGGTGAACCAGGTACCTGGGGGTCGCAGAGAAGCCAGTGGTTTTTGTCATTACGACAAGAAAAAATGCAGGCAATAAAGGATTATAGGGGTCCTGCCCCCAGTAATTGCACCCTGATGGGGTTAGGTGGCTCTGTCCCACCGCCCTGGTGAATCAGGCAGGGCTGGGAAGGCAGGGAAGCGGGGCTCTGTCCCATTTTCATCCTAAATAGAGATTTTGTTTTTATATTTTTTTTTCACATCCACTGCTTTGTAAATTATTTTTTACAGAACTTCAGATGCATGTGAGTGCATGGCTGCCTGGCTGGCGGCTTTGTGTCCTGCCTGTCCCCCCTTGCCCAGGCTGCTTTGATATTCAGGGAGTAGCAGTGGCTCAGGGACGTGCAGCCCTGCTGACCGCGTGCGGTGCAGAGAGGGTTTGCACAACCCCATTCTCTCTTGAACCGGCTGCATTGGGACGTGTTGGCGAGCCAGGGCTTGGCTCCGCTCAAGCCTTGCGTGGCCCGACGCACGGCCGCCGGTGCCTCCAGCTGCTCTCAGCAGCCTCTGGCTCTGCTCCAGGGGTGGTTTATGGCTCTGCCCTGGCATGAAGCCTCAGCCCAGCACTGAATTGCAGCATGATGGGGACACGGCACTGCCTGCTCACCCCTGCCTTGGTTGAGCAGCTGTGGTCAGCATGGTGTGTGGGTGCCCTCTGTTAAGCCAGGTGGGGTTGGCAGGTTTGGTCACACCACGTGCCAGAGGGATGGCGTTGCTTGTGCCATGCAGGCTGAAATTGGGCATCTGGGACTAGTCTGAAGAGCTGGTGTGGAACCTCATGTTGAGGGTAGGCATGTGTGCCCCCAGGATGTGGCACCCCGGTCTCTGCTCCCTGAAGATCCGCTGTGCCACGTGGCTTTTCCCATCCGGGTGGCCTGGTGCTGCCTGGGGGGATAGAGGGGGATGGGGACTTGCTGGAGGGCAGCGGCTGCTCTGACCTGGCCCCTGAGGAGCAGCTAAGCCCCCTAAACCTGTGAGAGGTTTCCGGAGTTCCTCTTCCAGGGAGTTAACATGGCGGCACTATCAGCTGCAGCCTGTTATGTGCGAGGTTGTCCTGTCCTAGGAGGAGGTCTCCAGTGTCACCCCGATCGTGTGTCAGCCCTGCTCGCTGGCTGGGCGAGTGGGGATGGAGCACCGACTTCACTGGCTCTCAGTGGGGAGGGATGTGGGGGCACTACGGGGTCTCCATAACTTCATTTTGTGCTAGGAAGACTCATCACCATTTTACAGAGAGGGATTTGGGAGCACAGTGAGGAACACACCCAGATATCTGGACATCTCCAACAACGGTCCTTGGCTCCCAGCTTGTGCCCAGACCCCTAACCCACGCTGCCCATCTTATTTTTCCTAACAGAGCTTCAGGCTCTGCCAAGAAACTGGGCAATGGCCCCCTGCTCTGGCAGGCTGCTCCCCATGCCTGGCCACAGCCCGCAGATGCTCTGTACTACCTGAACCCTTACTTTTTTTAGTAGGGGAGGCCAACTGTTGCAGGGAGCCCGAAGTCCTGTGTGCCGCAGGGTGGGCAGGAGCTGGCGGGGGGCGGCTCACCCCGGGGCAGCAGCTGCTGCCCGCTCGGGCACTTCTTGTCTTTCCTGGCCCCCAGCGCTGTAAGTTAACACCCCACAGGCAGGTCCAAAGAGGATTTCAACGAAACCTGAAGCTTGGGAGGAGAGATTATGCTGCAGAAGTGGCCTGGGAGACTGTAAAATATGCACTCCCACAATCGCCAAAGAAGGAACTGGATTTGCTCCCCGGGGAGCAGGGTCATCCCTGGTCTCAGTAACAGCGTCCGAGGGGGGAGATGAATGCCTTGAAGATAGGTCACCCCCTTCTGTCTTAGCCTGGCCCTGCTGAGTCTCCCCGGGACCCTGGGAGTGCTTGCTCTCCCCAAATTTGGTGCCTCCTGGTAGGTCACTGCTTAATGAAAACCACGTTTAGGACAGATGCCCGTGAAAATGCCCCCAGAACAGCTGACCCTTCGCTTGCATGAAGCAGCGCCTGGGAGAGTGAAGGAGTGGGGTGGCCTTTCCAAGGGTGTTTGTGCTTCCCCAGCACCCTCTAGCTGTGCCCCGTGATGGGGGCTGCTGGAAGCCTCTGCCCTGCAGGGTGCTGATCTGGGGCGAGGTGGCCCATTCCAGGTCCTGTAACGCCAGGAGCAGAGCTGAATGCTGCTTTTGTTTTGGGTGGTTTGCTGGTTTCTGAGGCAACCACATCTACAGACTGAGGAGAGCCAGGCTGGGGAGCTCATCCCATCCCGTCCCATCCTGTCCCATTCCACAGGGCTCAGCGGGGATGCGCTGACCCTCGCAGCCTGCTGTGCTGGCATACGAGTGTGGGTGCTGTAGGCAAAGGCTGCCCTGCCAGCCCTCCTGCCCTTCCTAGGAGCTCTTCTTGCAGGGGGCTTCGATGCTACTAATTTAAGTCTCTTGACATCCTGGTGAGAAAAATCAGAGCGGTGGTCTCCAGTTCACTCTGCTAGAGCCTGCAAACGTGCAGACCTGGAGAGGAGCAGTGTGCTTTTCCCAGTCCTTCAGGGTGTCTCTGCCAAGGTCCTGCTGGCTCTTAGCAGGGTCTTGTACCCCGGGTGCAGCTCTGCCATGGCAAGCACAATCCTCTCTGTGTCCCCCCATCATATGACACCATGTGCCCTCTTGAGCTGGATTTGGAGGAGCATGGTAGAACAGTGGGTTTTGGGGCAGAGCTGGAGGAACCCTGCACAGAGGTGCTTCACCCTTCTTCCTTTTTCGCCCATCTCTTGCTTTGCACAGCATGGCACAAGCCTTGGTCTTGGGACCACAGAGAAGCTGTATGTCAGGGCCAAGCAGATGCTGCTGCAGGTACCAGGGCAGCCCATCCTATGGCCAGGTGCCTGACTTGGGGGTCTAGAGCTGGTCCGGGCAGCCTGCAAGTGACAAACTGCAGAACAGGCTGAAAGGGACTGTCACTGAGCCAAGAAGAGCTGTGCCACCGCAGTTTGTGTGTCTGCTGGGGCTGCTGCCACCCTCTTGGCACAGCCCAAACTCCAGCCCCACGGGGCTGCCTCCCACTGCCTGCTCTGGATGCAAATCCAGACTCTGTCCGTTAAGTAGCTTTGGGTTTGCACCAGTGTCCCCTGGCATCCCAGCCCCTTTCCAGTGAGCTGTCACCTGCCAGCAGCAGCTCTCGGGCTTGCGTCCTCTGCCTTCCACTCCCTGGGGACTGCTGCTTTTGCATGTGGGTGAGCATTAGCAGAGTTGGGGCTCCTCTCCAAGGGAAGGTGGGTACGTCCGCTCTAGGGCAGCGCTACCCTGCAGCCCACCTTCCTTTGCTGGCCCACCCAGGAGCGAGCTACCTTTTCACCCCATCCCTCTTCTCTCCCGCAGGCACGTATCAGGGCCAGTTCACCAACGGCATGCGGCACGGCTATGGCGTGCGGCAGAGCGTGCCCTACGGCATGGCCTCCGTGGTCCGCTCCCCGCTGCGCACCTCCCTCTCCTCCCTGCGGAGCGAGCACAGCAACGGCACCCTGCCCCAGCAGGACTCCCCCGCCGCCAACCCCGAGAGCCTGCCCCTCTCGCCCACCATCACCCGCGGGGGCTTTGCCCTCAGCCTCTACGCGGAGGCGGAGGCCGGCAAGCCGAAGAAGGGGGGGCTCTTCCGCAGGGGCTCCTTACTGGGGAAGCTGAAGAAGTCTGAGTCCAAGTCATCCCTGGCCAGCCAGAAGAGCCGCGTCAGCTTCCTCAAGAGCGAGAGCGGGATCAGCTCGGCCGCCAGCGACGCCACCTCCACTGTCAGCCTGGGCGAGGGCGCCGAAGGCGAGGAGTACCCCCCCTTCGAGTCCGACATCGACGCCACCACCACGGAGACCTACATGGGCGAGTGGAAAAACGACAAGCGCGCCGGCTTCGGCGTCAGCGAGCGCTCCAGTGGGCTGAAGTATGAGGGCGAGTGGCTGGACAACCTGCGGCATGGCTACGGCTGCACCACGTTGCCCGACGGCAAGAAGGAGGAGGGCAAGTACCGCCACAACGTCCTCGTCAAGGGCATGAAGAAGCGTGTGATACCCCTCAAGAGCGCCAAGATCCGGCAGAAGGTGGACAGGAGCGTGGAGGGGGCTCAGAGGGCTGCAGCCATCGCCCGGCAGAAGTCGGAGATTGCGGCGTCCAGGTAGGTGCTTGGGGCTCCAATGCGCAGGTCCCCACGGTGGTCATGGTCCCCATCCTACGTGTCCCTCTGGAGCCATGCTGCATGGCTGGCAGTGGGGTCCAATGTGGCTCCCTGCAATTTCTATTTAATTCTGGTGGAGCGGGGCCGAGGGACCTTGTGGCAGCCCGGGGGTGTTCAGGACCTGTCCTCCCTCTCACTCCCTCTCCTGTCCCCTTGCAGCCCTGGTCCAGGGGGAGCTGCTGGCCAGCAGGAACTGGCACTGGCCCCAGCACTCAGCGGGACGGGGACAAGGAACTGGTGGGATGGGGAGCACCCTGGTAATGTGCCAGGCTGCCAGAGGTGTCGTTGATGGGGCAGGATGAGAAATAGTGGGGTTTGGCTATGGTAAATCCAACAGGCTCACGAGCAGGCAGCGGGACGTGTCCCAGAAAAATTGGGTCTGCAGCAGAGTGCAGCTCAGCCCCAGAGCCCCCGGTGTGGCTCTGTGGGGAGTCTATGGGATGCATTAGGGTCGTCACTTAATTTAGCGGCTGAGTGTAATGGGCTCTGCGGGACAAGCACTGCTGTGCTGGGATGCTGCGGACTGGTAGGCAGGACCTATGGTGGGTAACAAACAGAGGAAGGGGCTGCCTTGGGGAGCCCCGTCTGCCCCCAGGACCCAGCAGTCCTCGGCCAGGTTTCGCATGAGTGTTTCTGCCACGAGGTGGGCGGCAGCCAGAGCCAGGGCAAGATGACTGTGTCCATGCTGGATGGCTGAGCCTGATCCCGCAGCACACAGCCCCATCCCACAGCCCATGATGCTTTAGGATGCTGGGAAAGGAGGAAGCAGGGAGGGCTCAGCTGGGTTTGACCCCTTTTGTCCCCCCAGTTTGTCCTGGCCAGACCCCAGGGGTGGGAAGAGGGCTGTGGCAGCCGGCAGCGAGTGAGTGGCAGCGTGTCTGGGGATGCATGCTGCAGGGGTGCGTGAGGGGCTGCTGCGAGCACGTGGCAGTCTCTTGCACCGGTGTCCCTTGCACTGGCAGACATGCAGGCACCACCGGGCACCACATTGCCCCTACACTGCCTGGTATGTTGGGACCAGACAGGTAGGCTCTGCTCAGAATTAGCTGTGTTAGAAATTAGTGGGAAAAGAAAGTGCTAATTGCTCCGTCATCCCTCCTGGGATGGAGGAGGGAGGAGACGAAAGAGCAGCTCTAGTGTCTGCCTGCGAAGGGCAGGAGAAAACCTCCTTCCCCTGCTCACATCCCTGCCTGTGTCCGAGCTGCGCCTGCAGCACGTTCCTCCTCCCACAGCATTCCTGCCAGTCTCGGAGCCAGCCTGGCAGACACCAGAGATTGTCAGGCAGGGGCAGAGCCTTTGCTCCTCCTCTCTTCCTCAGGAAAACGTGGTTGTGACAGACCTCGAGGTTTCACCTTGCCTTTCCATCAAAACCTCGCCCCACGCAGGCTTTGCTCAGCTGCTGGGCAGTGGCTGCAAATCTGGGCTGTCCTCCCTTGCTCCTTTTTAGTGCTGTTTAATTATCAGTTACTCCATTGTCAAGCAGAAATGGGAAATAACAGCAGTGGGGACAGCGCCTGTTCCCAAACGCCATCCGTCCCCTCCGAGAAATCCCGGCTTTACTCTCCCGGCAGCCATTTCTACTCCAGAGTTTTGTGGGGAACGTGATTGGTTTTTTAGCAAAACCCAGTTGCCTCAGAGACCAGCAGAGAGAAAGCGGCAGGACTGCAAGTGAAATGCCACTCAGGGCCAGCTAGGATAAAAATAACGGGCTGGGGCAGCATGGGGCTTGCCGGAGCCTCCCAGCAGGGCAGGCTCAGCCCGACACCAGCTTTGCCGTGCCCAGAAGTGTGTGGCCGCAGTGCTACGCGCCCGTAAATAAGGAGGCTGGAGCTGCAAAAGCTGCTCCCCAAGAGCTCAGCTGGTTTACACAAGCCTCTTTTTATTATACACTATTTACACTTTGGATCAAAAGCGGCTCTGCAGTGTTTTCCATCAGGGGCTGGAATGTGCCTGCTGCCCTGACGGGGGACTGCATCCCTCCCCAGCACAGCTGGGGAATAATTTCCTATTAAGGAAACCTTGGAGCTGGAGGAAATAAGACATTAAAGCTGCTTTCCTCCAGGGAGTCCTCCCCTAGCAGACCCTGCGATAGTGCGGCTGTTGCGGCAGGGGAAGAGAACGCCGCTTTCCCCAGCAGTGTGATGCCCCTGATCCCGTGCCTGCGGCACTGCCTGCAGCTGAGCTGGACCTGCTGCAAGAAGGACAATTCAGGCTCCTCCGTCTTGTAAACTGTAATTCACCACTTCCATCAGTGTTTATTCCTGGTGTATGTTGCTCTGGGCAGGGCCACTCTCTCTACCTGCTGCCTTTTGAAAATCTGACTGCTGCTCTCCTCCCTCCTCTTTTCAGTTCAGCTTTGGGGTTGAGAGTAAATATAGATAATTTTGTCTCAAGAGGGTCCTTAGGTTAAACGCCAGCTCTCCCACCGACTTTTTCTTTGGCCTTGAACCTTGCCTCAGTTTCCACACCTAGGACAGAGAGTAATTGCAGACAGATTGTGAAAATCAATTATTAAGGTTTACAAAAGGTCTGTACTATCATTAGCACTGCCCAAGCTCATAACTGCGAGGTGGAATTTCCTAGATGGAGCATTTATATTTCTCCTCAGATGGCAGTGTATACCTTACCAAAGAAATGTATTCGAGGCTACACGAATCCTTTTTTGGGGGAAGATGTGACATATCTATATGTAAGATTATTGCTAGGAACTAATTAGCAGGACACAGCAGTGGGGCTGCACAGATGCCCAACTACCTCCACATACCTGTGCTGTTGTATATGGATGTTTGAGTTTCATTTGCTTCTGGCACTCAGGGGAGCCCCTTGCAGAGCTAACCTACTGTAACATTCAGCCTTCTGTTGTCTGGGGTTGAAATGTCAGGAGGACCAGATTTCACTCTTTTGCACCATAAAAGGCTCTTTAGGGATGGAAATCCTGAGGAAAACAAGCCCACGCCTGGAAGCTGCCTCGGCCAGTTGCACCACAGGAATCCCAGGCACGTGCCTGAGCTCTGGTGGTGCGCAGGCAGGCGGCTACCGGCAGCACTGATGGGCGCCCTGCCTGTGATCTGCCCTGCGGAGACGGGTGGGAGAGCAGTGATGGTCAGGGGGATGATGGTCAGCTGCTGTCAGCAAACCTTCCTCGATCCACACTCTGCTCTGAGGGTGTCCGAGGCACCAGGCTGCTTTGCTGCTCCTGCCCCACCTGCCTGCTTGGTTTGGGCATTCCAGCCAGCGCCAGGGGCAGTGCCAGCTATTGCCTGCCCCGCTGCCTGTCTTGCCCAAGCAGCGCTGCCCTGGCCTCCTTGGCTCCCTCCTGAATCCTCCTGGGTCGGCAATCCAGCTGCTTTCCCTGTTGTGCAAGAGGCTCAGGATAGAGCTGGAATCACCTCGCCGCCAGCTGAGGGAAGGGCGATTTTTTTTTTTAAATTATTTTTTTTTAATTCTTTTTTCATTATTTTAGTGAAAATCATTTGGCATGGGGCCACACTGTCCTGAACAGCCCATCTCCGCTCCCCCAGCTGCCCCCTCACCCCAGGCAAAGCCCCTCAGTGCTGCTCAGACGTCGGGCAGAAACCCCAGGCACATCTACTGACAGTTCTGGGGATCAGCTAATAGGTTGGAGCTAATGGAAGTTAAAGTATGGTGAATCCTCACCCAGACTGCGTCACTCGGGAGAAGTTGTCCTGAAGCACAGGCTCTGCAGCGGCCAGTGGAGATGGCTTTGCTCCTGCCCAAGGGTAACCACAGGTGGACATGGGGTTTAACATGCACCATATGATGTCTGTTAGCCATGCCCTGGACTGCTGGTGCCCTGGGACTTGCCTTGCTGTGATCCCAAGGGATTCCTGTCAGAGCTGGAATGTGGCTGTTCTTGTGGTTTCAGGTGAAGGCACCTACCGTGTCCCTCCAGCCTCCCCCTTTCCCACCATCTGTCCCATCTGGGGGCTTCTTTGAAAAAATATTGGGGTGGGTGGGAAAGGCAGTGAGGACCTGGGATTGCAGCTGGGACATCATCTCCCCAGTGCTTAAGTAGACAAGACGGCTCAAGGACCAGCCAGCAGGTCTGTCCTCCACCAGCCCCAGTGAGGAGGGGACAGCCACCACCAAGCCATGAGCGAGCCAGTTAAAAGCCAGTCTGAGGTGTGTAACAGCTGCCCTGGAGTTTTCTGGGCATGTGGTTTGGTGCCAAACACGGTGCTCTGCACCCCTGGGTGCTTGGGGAGCACTGTGCAGTATGTGCTTGCCTGTCACGTGGGGAGGATGGTCTTACTGAAAGCAGGGAGAAGGAGCGTGGAAATGGTCAGCTTTCATCTTTTCAGAATAGATTAAAATAAAATAAAAAGCAAGAGGAAGTGCAAGACCGGTTGCAGGGGCAACCTTTGATTTTTTGAAAGCTGTGCGTTCAGTAGCCAGGCAGCTCATACAGGGCATTTCTTTCTCACTGGTGCTTCTGGGGGACAAAATGAGCGTAAACACTGCAAATCCCACATCCATCCCACTGCAACAGCTGTCGTGGTCTGCCTCTGCACGGGGTTATGCTTTGCAGTAACTTGGACCAAAATCAATGGAGGGACTTGGCCGTGTGTTCTGCAAGGCACAGGTCTCGCCACACTCCGAGATCGTTTGACAGGCATATGTCCTGTTAGCAAAACCTCAGATATATCTGCCAGATGTCACTGGATCAATAGGAAAGCAAGGGACAAGGGACAGTAATTTCTGCTGTGCTTCACCTGTTTGTCTTCAGATGCTGGCCCTGAAGCCCCTGTGCAGCTGGAGTTTTTTATGCCTGGAGAGTACAACTAAAAATGAATAAATTTTTAATTTATTTTTGGTTGTAATGTAATATCTATAGAGGTCCTGCAATACAGCTGCTTGGCTAGATACCTGTAAGAATTTCTAAACTGCATTCTGAAATGTTGGCCTTTAATTCCTGTTAA